ATGTTGCCAAATTATTATTCCATCACAACTTTACTTCATCAAAATTCTAGATGAGATATCCCTTCAGCTCAATTTGGCATGTGTGTCTGGTCTCTAGGGATATTCAGGGTTTTTGTGAAGACGATGGGAAGGGTGATTGATTATTTAGTTTTTTTAAAACCAATTTTGTATATCTCTATTTACTAATCATACACTGGAAGCAACTATGTGTTCCAAAAATAAGAGCAAATTAGCTAAATATGTGTTCCAATTTTGTATGTTTTTTATAGTTCATCTTCACTTTATTTTAATCAGCTAAATATAAGAGCAAATTAAAAAATAAAGGTCACCACTCATATTCCCTCCTGACAACCAACATCACTGAGTAAATTTGAAGATGGAATTAGATTTCTCCATAAAAAAAAGATCTATTTTTGAGCTTTGTAATATACGGAATTGTTATTTTTAATACTCCGTATATTTATGATTCTCTGAGTCTTGTTTAAACTTTTCATGTCAACATGGAGTGACAGCAAATCAACAATGAAACTAATCCTTCTAAGTTCTGATATAGGCCATGCATGAACAAAATTTAGTATCTTTACAAATGAAAACAAATGAATTACAAGACATAAATCATTTTAATTAGTCATGACGGTTTTAATTATTAAACAAAGGCTGTTGAAGAGTCACATGACTCATTACTAATGACTCATGAGGGACTAAAATGAAATGGATGCTAACTACAGGGTTGGAAAAAATGTATAGGCATAAAGCAAAAGTAACTATAAGCTAAAAACATATCAAAACTTATAATTAACTTTCGTGGTAATCCTATCTCTGAATTGTCTAAAGCAAAAGGAAAAGTATTTTCCTTTTGTGTTCTTCTCAAAATTACTATTTGTCTATTTCCATTGAAAGGAAGCAACACGGCCGTTCACATTATTCACCCTTCTAAGTAAATGTAACTACATTTTCAATTTCATAAACCCGGTTTTCAATTAACCGGACAATAATTTAAGGAATGAATAAGTACATTTATTGGGTCATATGTTAAATGTAGTACTCCCTTCATTCCAAAAAAATCTTCTCACTTATTTTATTGGGATGTCTAAAAAAATCTTCTCATTTCTCTTTGTCGAATGATTTACATGGTTATCATTCATTTACATTTCTTCTTAACCAACCACAATAATACATTTCCATTTTACTCTCACTTCTTTATAAGCGTGCCGAATCAAAGTAGGATAATTGTTTTTGGGAAAGAGGGAATATTATACTAAGAAACTGCTCTAATTAGGAGTAATAGTATTTAGAAATTCTAAAATATGAGTGTAATGTTTTTATTCTTGAAATAGGAATAATACTGTCAAACTTGAAAAAATATCACTTATGACAGTATATTGTACACTTAAAATATGATAATATCACAAAATCATAGTATGTCTCCTATTTGGGAGGACATAGTACTCCTATTTTAGAATTCTCATACTTTTTTATTTCGAATTCAGGAATTTTCCGTATTATATCTCTATAGTCTATAATTAATTATACGGGGATGGGGGACATAGTAATCTTGTTTTAGAATTCTCACACGATAGGAATTTTAACTTCGATTTGAGGAATTTCTCCTATTATACTATTATAGTTTATACTCCTTCCGTCCCGCTAAGATTGTCCCATTTTTTCTTTTCGAAAAATCCCACTAAGATTGTCTCATAGCAGATTTGGGAAAATTTGTGCGGCTCTAAATCATTTTTACTATATTCTTAGTTTATCAATTCAATATCAATCACATGAACTCACTTTTCTTAATAACCGTGTCACCCCATTTTGTCCCAATTTTTTTTTTTGAAAATCAAATAACTAATTTATTATCAAACGATAGCAAAGATACAAGAGAATGAATAGCCTAAGTCTACAATGAGATGAGACAGAACGGAACAGATCCAATGAATCCTTCCAGATCGCTAACCCCGCAATAATGTAGTCTAGTCTAATAGTCTTGCTGCTCTTCTTGCTACTCCAAAGAGAAAATAAAAAATTACAACTAAAAGATTCGGCTTCACCGGCCACCGGAAAGGGAGAATTGGATTGACCAGCAACCAACAAAGAAAAATCAGTCGAGCAGAAATCTTCTGAAGCATCGGTTTGACCAGCCACCGAAAAGGAGATCCAATTGATCATCTTCTTCTTCTCAGAGCGAGGTGGTGGTTCAGGTGGTGGACGGTTATTTGAAGCATCGGAATAATAAGGTTGAAAAAGCTTTACCAACCATGAACAACGGAAATTCACCAGATTGATTACACCGATTAGAAACACCCAACCTCTAGACATTGCTAGGAGAATAACATACCACACGCTCACATGAAGCGGACAAAATTCTCGGCCAATGAAGACGCCTAACCAAAATCCTCGAAAATAGAAATTAAAAAAGAGCGGAAGCATAGAAAAACCTTCGATTCGATTTTTCACTGCATAGAGAATATCACCATCTTCCAAAACTTTTTGCTGATTGAAAAAGAAAAAGTTGAAAATCAGATGTTGAAAGAGGTTGAGGATGGCCGCCTAGGGTTTCCCCTAGGGCCGGCTCTTGGCATGATCTGTGTTAGAAATTAAGTGTTACAGATTTTAAATTATGTATTTTGTCCCAATGTTAGTGGGACGGAAGTACTTTTTATAATACACATATGTGGGGATGTGATGGGGTAAAACGATAATAATGGTGCAGGGGGGTTATTTTCGTCCTATTCCTCTCCTAAAACGAAATTAGAGTAAAACGGCATGTATGTAATGAAACTAAAACATTATTTCAAAATCGTTATGCTAGCTATCAATTTTGTGTTTTTTACTTCAAAAATCTAAAAATCGGATTAATGTTACATCTCAAAATTTTGCTAGCAGTTTTTAAGATGGGCATAACTAATATACGCTCGATTACATTGAGTTCACTATATAACTTGTATTGTAAACTTTTAAGATCTTGAAACAATTCACTATAAAACTTGCATCACATGGAGTGTGACTTTTTAAATCATAAATTCATAATACAACAATGTCAAGGCACTTAAGTTACTGTTTTGAAAGAATGGGGACTTGACTTTTTCTACCCAATTAGAAGATACTCCCTCCTAGGGATGGACCGGTCCCGGGTTGGGACCGGGTCGGGCTTAGGGCGGGACTGGGTTGGGGAAATGGAGGCCTGGTACCGGCCCGGCTATGTTCCGGGCCGGGCCCGGGTCGGATACATTTTTTTTCTTATTAATTCCAAGAGACCTGCAGCCCGAGCCCACCCCCAAAACACCACCGGTTCGGGTCCTAGGCCCGGTCCCGATCAACCGGGCCGGTCCGGTACCACACATGGTGGTCCGGGCCGGGTACCGGGTCAATCCGTCCGGTCCCGGTCCATAACTACTCCCTCCATCACATATCAACTTATCAAGATTCTCTAAACGATTTATGATGAACGGATGGTAGATAAAGTAAATTCTTCCCTCATAAAATATATGAATGGGTATCCAATTAGAATATACTCCATCCATTACATATCAAGATTTTCTGAACGATTTATGATGAATGGGATAGATAAAGTGAACTCTTACCTCGTAAAATATATGAATGGGTGATAGATAAAATAAACCTTCCCTCATAAAATATATGAAGTACTTCGTATGTTATTAATAATTAAAATTTATATGTTCAGAAATACATCTCAACTTCTACTAAATTGCCAAAAGAATTTATAGATCACAATCTGAAAAAAATCAAAGGACATACTTGAATGCTACTGTAGGTGCACGCGAAGAAATAGAAATATTTCAAAAAGAGAAAACTCTCAAATAGGCACTCGTACTTTGGTAAATTCCTCAATTAAGTCCTCGTACTTTGAAAACACCCAATTAAACCCTTCAACTCTTAAAAAACGCTCAATTAGGTGGATTAGCAGGTTACCAACAGGTCTCCAGGTTAGCTTCGTATGTGGCATGACACGTGGCGGGCCATGTGGCACCTATTTATTTTTTTCTTTTAATTTTTCTTATTCTTTTCCTTTCTATTTCTCTTTCCCTTTTCCTTGAACTCCGGCCTAGCTACGTAGCTATGGATTTCGACTTTCCCATTCCCAGTTCGAGGTTGGTTCCAATCTGGCTCTTCGTGGCTAGCTTGAACCTCTTTCAAGCAATTAATGGACGCATCTTCCTTGAAAACCTAAATACCTCTCGCTGGAATTCATCTTTGGAGCTTTTGCCATTAATGGAAGCTTGGGATCTTTGGAACCTCCTTTTTGTTAGGTTAGGTTAGGTTAGATTTCCTCCGCAGATAGTTTTCATTGATTTAGGTTGTTGAAAGTCGATTTTGATGTCAATAAGCCATTAATGGCGATTTAGAAGCTCGATTATGTTGAATCCGCCACAAGTGAGCAACTAGGGCTGCGTTACAACATCAGGTTCCATTCCAAGTCCGTTTGGCAGAACAATCAAAGTTGATTGATGGTTCTAAATCTCAATTTCAGTGTTCATCATTCAATAATGGATGCTTGGAAGTACAGGAGCGATGAAGAGGTGTAACGGCGCAGGCGGTTTGGTTGCAGGAGACGGGAAGTACAGATAGGGTATGTAGCAGAGTAGCAGACCACCGGGAAAGAAGGAGAGCAAGAAAAGAAAAAGAGAAATTTAACATTTGCCACGTATGGACCGCCACACATGCAAATAACTGGGAAACCGGTTGGTTACCTACTAATTCTCTTAATTGAACATTTTTAAGAGTTAAAGGTTTAATTGGGTGTTTTCAAAGTACGAGGAGTTAATTGAGGAATTGCCCAAAGTACGAGGGCCTATTTGAGAGTTTTCTCTTTCAAAAACAATTAAAAATATTAAATAAAATTAAATGTCAAAATAGAATAAAATTTGCCATGTAAATAATGTATGAAAACGTTGAAAATGGGAGAGATGGAGTATCAAACACAAGAGGCCATTATGTCAACGTGTGAGGTTTCAGAAAGCTACCTCTTTTACTGCATCATCAATCTTTTCGCTTATATTATTGCAAGGGTAGAACACTTCACAACATGTAGGTATGTAACCAAATACTTCATACAGAGTATTATTTTTAAGACGGAAGGAGAAAAACAAAGAGACTCCATTCCAAGCATTATTTACATATCTCATGTGCTAAAACTACAAAAAGGCAACCATCACAACTCACAAACTTTTCATAGTTACAATCATTGTAACTCCGTACTATAAATCAGAAATGCTAGGGAACCAGAGAAGATAAGATGTCATGTTCCAAGGGTTGTGTGTACATGAACTGATGAACTCCGAAGAAGTCAAGGAGTAAATATAGAAGAAACAGTCCCAATTTCAGAACCGCAAAACAACCTCTTTGTGACCTCAAGTTTGTTTCATAGATGCACTTCTAGCCATCTTAGCTCCCACTAGATGGAATGGAACCAAGTAGTTGACAAGTTGTACCTCCTGCTAAAGAGTAAATTAAATTAAAAAGTAATAAATGAGAGCAGTCTGAAAATGTCAGGTATTTAAAATGTAGTAGCATATTCAGAGTTGCACAATATTAAAATGTGGTTAACACTACAATGAAATATGTGAATGGTAAAGATGTGAATTCACCATCGGTAACTTAGTTACCAGATTAGGCTGATCGTGGAGATGCATAGTCTTTTTCTTGGCAAGCTACGCCTCTGCTTCCATTGGAGTAAGTCGAGCGAACATGTCCAAGACAAGTAGATATCAATTTCTGAAACCAGATGACAACAAAGTGACAACAAGAACAAGAGGATTTTTGGCATTTGCACCCTCCCATGTTTAACCCAATATTTGACTTTGCACCCGTGTTCTTATTTTTTTACTTTGCACTCAGAGTGGGATGTAAAGTCAAATCTTAAGATGCAAATAGGGTATAAAGACTTATGTATATACTGGGATTTGCGCCCCATTAGGCATGAGAAGTTAATAAAAATAAGACATGGGAGTCAACATCGGGTTCAAATACTGAATTTTCCTTATACGGAGAAATAATGATAAATCACACCTTTGATTTTACATTTAAATATGAATATGAATGTAAATGTGTATCTATTGTCACACCCTTGAATTGATTTTACATTTGCGCCCCATTATGACACTTGCTTTTTTGTTTCAAAACAAGTGTCGTGTTACAAATTTCATACTCCATCCGTCCCTTATAACTTTGTCATCTTTCCCTTTTTATATATCCCAAAAACTTTGTCAATTTCCCTTTTAATCAATGAATTTGTGATCCCTAGTATCTCTCTCTCCTAAGCCCACATCTCAATCACACAATTTTTTTACTTTATTATTTCTCATGCTTGTCAAACTTGACAAAGTTTTTAGGAACAGAGGGAGTATAATACATCAACTAGTTTCATGATTTCATTCCATTTTTAGCCATATCAACCAAACTTAACTAAAACGACAAGTATGAAAGGGATTGGATTAATAGACTAGACAAAGTGACAACTTATGATCATTTTTTCCTGAAAAGGATTGTCTTTGTTCCTAACTTGCTAGTCTATGTTTTCTTAATTGGTGAGGAAGGGTATAGTGTGACTCTTATTCGGGAACAAGGGGAATACCAAATAACAAAGGTAATTGATCTTTACATTGAGAAGAAGACAAAAAATGATATCCAACTGTGATGCTGCTTGGGCATAATTGCCAGCTATGAAGCACGGGAACTTCTCACTGCTCACGTTTCCGAAATTTGGAAACTCAAGAGCCTGTCACAAATTTGGAAACTTGGAAACACTTGTTTTGAGGTTGTTTCCATAATTAAGAAGAATTGGAAAACCCATTTGCTAAATAATTAGCATTTCGGGAACTTTCGGTTTCCATTTTTTTCTTTTTGATGGGATTCCTTGATGAAAATAGTTCATTTCTTAAACTCTTTAGTGAATTCTTGTGGGTTCCTCATAGCAATATTGTGATATTTCATAACGCAATGCATTGCTAGAAATATATTGCATTTTATGTTTTGTGATGTACTACGTAGTAATATGTAATAATTTCTAAATTTGAACATGTAGAATGTATTTATATTGGTTATCAAACAAAGTTATACGAAAAAATATGTGCATATATGCACATGGAAAAACACGTTTACAAATTATTTATCAATACATCCTTTTAATTTTTTAATATTGACATGTTTACCCCACGTTCTATATCCTATATTTATTAGAAATCCCATTTCTCACGTTTAGCATTCCCCATTTCCCGTTAAGCGTTTCCGTGCTACTTAGATTGACAGCATTTGGATACACTCATAGATTGACACCTTTCAATTGAAAAAAAAAAAGTAAAGAGAGGGATATACCTGATCCAAAAAGTTTTAAAAGCAATCTCTGTTAAATGAATAGCCATGAGCAATCTCATTTACAGTCGGCTCATCCCAATAAATTCATCAGAAGTGGAGCATGCGAAGGAAATGGTTACTCTGTTATGGATTAACGTTAGTTGATTGAACTAAATGTGTGGATCCAAAAATGAAGGAATGGTCTTGCATGGCTGGTGAAGCATAACAATTAGACAATGTAAGTCAAGGACTAAATAAGCAATCAGCCAATCCTTGACAGTCTCTTCCGCTTTCGATTCTTGCTATGCAGAGTAGAACTCTTGATTGTTGTCTCATTCTGTGAGCTAGGGGGCAAAGTAATTGCCGAAGTAGGCATGCAACGGGGTGTTCTACTCTTCTTACCAGCCCATCTCAAAGGCATGCTATTAACCATGTCACCTATGTTATTGGAACCATTCAAATCAACAAGTAGTTGAATCTGATCAACCATTTGATGTGTCCATGCATTTGAGAGATCAAGTGCTATTGAGTCATCCATTGGCGTTTTCATTAGATCCATTATAATTTCTTGGAATGATTGGTAAGACATGGAAGGTCTATAGCCTTGAATATTTCCGCACATCATATTGACCTTAATGACATGCTTGCAAAGGTTTCCTTGCAGTGACCATTCACAATCACAATGAGCAAAATCAGATCCAGGGTTCCAAATAAGATGTGTAATAGTACTGTCTTTCTGACTTAAAACCTTAGCGAAAAGGTGTTGTCCGCTTTCAAGGTCCACTAATGAATCAGGAATTTGCAGTGCTCGATACCAAGACGTAGAGGCAATATACTCTTCCTTGACATTTTGAAATGAATCACTCTCATCAGCATATCTGTCAAGCCAGTAGCTTGAATGTAACTCTGTGGTCAGCTTGTGAACCAACCAATCAACTCTCTGTAATGCACCCAAATGTGAATCATCATATACTTTTGATTTCAGCTTCATATGATATGCTTCTATTGCACACGACGATTCCAAACTTGCAAGTGGAAACAACTTCATTGTAGTCAGCCACATTTCTGTATGAAATGAGACCAGTCTAATCAAAATTTATATTAATACTAGCTAGGGCAGCCCCGTGCACATTGGCAGCCCATCAGGGCAAGCGTCCGGGGAAGGGAATCAAAATATATAACATAAACCATATGAAAATCATATGTTTTGAAAACCTGATTTTTTTAGTTATCTTATTTGCTGAGGAATTTGTTAACACAAAAGTGTGCATACAAAAGAAAGTAATTGACTAGTATCAATCTAACCTATTTTAGGAACCCATGTAGATGTAAAATATTGCATAAAGTCCGCTTGGTCAACAAAGTCTTGAGTAAGTTCCTCCAAAGCAACAGCAGGATTACGCCCACCCCAAATACCATAAACCATATCACCCAAGCGCTTCAATATCTCTCTTTGCACTACAATATTACCACATTTTTTGCAAATATTTCTTAACCAAGATCTACGAACACGCCAAAGAGAAAATATTAAAGGACAAGATAATGCTTCCCTGCAAATAAAGTGAAGTGTAAGTGAATGATGTAACTATACTATCAAGATCTAATATTGAAGCAATTGACTTTTAATAAAAAGAAATATACATTATCGGATCAATCTCTGTTGCAGCATCATCAATCAAAAACCCGTTGATTTTCCATGATGGATCAGATTTGTGTGCACGTCCGACCAACGCTTTCATCCACTTATTCACATCTATCTTTGCAATACTGCGAGTGATGATCCACGCAACAGGAAGTGCATGTTGTCTTGAATCAAAAACAAGAAGTGTGCACAATGGATACTGCCATATGCCCATATCATGAAATGAGAACACGTTATGGATTTTGCAAGTTAGTCAAATAAATATAATGGCTGTACCACCTTGAGTTTCTTTATTCCAAATGCAGAATCTGCTGCTATGATACTACGATGGCCAAAACGAATCATTTGTTGCAACTGCCACTCAGTTTGTATTCCTAAGATGAATGGGTCCTTTTCTGATGAATCCTGATAAAAGAAAACAGATTTTTTGTTTCGTTCAACCCACATCCGAATGCTAGCTTGATCATCAAGATCCAATTCATGAGAGGATCTTTTAATAATCATGCCGAGTTTTTGGACATACTGTGAGGCAAGGTTATTGACTTTCGCATCTGAATCGCAATAACGCTGAATGCCTTCGATATGCTTTTCTAAAACATTTTCCTCAGGAATGCCAAGATATATCATAGACATGGTTTGCTGTTGTATCTCGTTGCAAATGTATGGAATCTTTTTGGCACCAGGACCAATAGCATCTCTGTCTAGTGGTCCATGGCAAACAAAACCAGACTTGTTCACATGTCTCCTATTGTTAAATATTAGAAGTGCAAGGGATGGGCAAGCATATAAACGCTTCACCACAAAATGACATGTGCATCCCCTCATGGATTGGGGTCTTGCAGCACGGTTACGAGTGTTAAGTCGGTACCTTCGGCTCGGTAATATGCCTCCCCCTTCTCCATAGTTTTCAGGGCCAAAGGAACACCAATACCTAAAAGGAAGAAAATAATGATATTTGTGATGGGATCCATCTAGTATTAATTTTTGCTATTTCTGTAAGAATGACATCAACCATATAGCTAGGTATTTCTTATATTTCAAGTGACATGAAAAAGGAGTAAGAAAGATGATCCATGATCATTGTTCATGCTTTATCTCGCAGACACCCACACACACATAAGCTGAAAGAACTAAAGAGCGAGGTAGGGGTAGGGAAGGGGGGCTTACATCCTGTACTCCAAGTATTCATCAGGCTTGTATTCTTTTAAGCTCCCCTCAATTCGTTTCCTCCCCCTCTCTATGTGGAATCTCGTTGGGCATTCAACATTAGAACATTCTCCAATAATAAAGGCATCAACTCGGTCATAGGGAATCAGGGCAACCTCATCGTGGTGCTCTGCATTTCCAAACTTGGTCCAATTCAAATCACCAGAAAAGAAGTCCTCCCCTGGCGGGTTTTGCACAGCAAGACTTTGAATGGACTCGATTATATCCATCCCTGAAACATTCCCTTGGTTATCGATTAACTAATCAATGTAAAGAAGCAAAAGAAATTTCCAGCAGTTGTTCCCACCTAATGAGCTCCACTGGAATGCATACACCTTATCTTAGAGAAAAAAATAAGAATCGTGCAAGACAAAAGACCTCATTCTGTATGATATGATTGCTATCACAACACCGTAATTCCATAAATGCAAAGGCATAACAAAAACATCATAACCTTTTCAGTGTATTTAAAAAGGTTATATAAGTTCACGGAATGCACGGAGAGTGAAATCCTAGAATAACTGAATAAGTCACAAAACCACTTCGGTTTGAAGTAATAAATCCTACATTAGAAATGGAGAAAAGGATGGACACAAGGTTATTGATGAAATATAAGTGAACACCATTGCTTGTACCTTCTTTGAGTAGTTATGCGGACGAATCTGAAACAGAACGGCGGTGATGAATAGTGAGTGCAGATTCAAGCTTCCAGATATCAGAAGCTCTTCTGGTAAGCCTTCGGGGTAAACATTTGTTGGTTTCTAATTTTCTTTCAAATAACCTAAACGATCACCTCCAACGTTTGGGTTACAAGTTGCAAGATTACTGAGCACATTTTACTTTTGATAATGATTTTTATTAATATGTACTCTTCGTATTTAAATGTTTACTATAATAAGTTGAACATTAATGAAATAGTAGGAGTAAAGAATAATGTATAACAAGTATGCGACTGAAAATATGAAAAGAGATAAAAAGTATGAAAAGTGAAGGTAATTTAGTATTTATACAAGAAAAAATTATCAAAAAAAAATGTAGCAAACTTGTAAATACATCCAAAAAAAGTGTAACAAACTTAAAAATATTCAATTTACATTAATTTGAATTTACAAAATCTTAAATTTTATAATGTATTGATGGTGCATTTTTTCAGTCTTATAGTGGTCACATATTCTTCCATCAACTTAACGTAAAAGCACCTGTAATGCTACAATGTGCACGATGCACATGTGGCCAGGGGCGGACCCAGGAAATACATCTTGGGAGGGCGGTAGTTTAAACAAAAAAAAAATTAGGGGGCGATAATTATTTTTCGTATATATATACACTAAAAAAATTTTTGTTGGAGGGGCGGTAGCCCCTCTGGGACTGTACTACGGTCCGCCCCTGCATGTGGCATGAGAGACATAAACACAAAAGATTAAATTCATGTCATTTCTCCCTCCCTCTCACGGTCTTATATGTTTTTAATGAGTTTTTCTCAACAATGACAAACACAATGTCTATACCTACAAATAAGGAGAGATATTCTATTTGTTTTTTTAATTGGTTATCTCTTGTGTCATGTATGTCCCGTGTTCACGTCTTTGCATTGGAGATGCTCTAATCATTTATTTATCCAATATTGAGGGGTACTATCAAACAATGGAAATTGGCGATCCATATGTCTGTGCCTTCAACTCATTGGGAACCCAAATAGTTTGTAATTTATGAATTAATTCATGTAACATGAATAGATTATAAACACAAATCACTTTTATTTATATATTACATGTGGTCAAATACTCACGGTCACAGGAAGCAAAATATCATTAACCTTAACCTTTGTTGATTTGTTTTTCTTTTCTTTCTAAATCTCGTCTTTCCATACACAAATGTGTGGAATGGGGTATCATCTAAGGCCTCATTGCAAATTTAATATATAGCAAATAATGGAATGCACTCACACACGAAAATATTCATATTTAATTACACCAAGGAATTTCATATAGGAAAAAATAATTAAAATATCTCAAACTTTGAAAGGGTGTGAAATAAACACCCCAAACTTTCATATGTAATTTAAATACTTCAAACTTTTTATAAAGAGTTATTTTAACACCATGGTCAAGTATTATTTATTTCAAAAATGTAAATTATATTGTTAATTATATAATTTAAAATACCAAATTAAAAAAGTTGAAATTAAATAGAGTGGGGGTAATACTATTTATTTTACAATGGAAGTTTAGAATGTTAATTGTATCTTTTAATACTAAAATATTTTAAATTATGAAATTAACACCAAAAATTAACATTTTTGAAAGAAATAATACATGACCATAAAATAATTTTTATATAATGTTTGGAGTATTTAAATTACATATGCAAGTTTGGGGTGATTATCTCACACTTCTTCAAAGTTTAGTGTTTTTAATTATTTTTCCCTTTCATATAACGCATATAAATAAATATTCACACTTTGCGTACAAACGCAGCTCATAAATAATTTAACAATAGTTCTTGGTGTACACCCTGGGTTACACCCTGGGTACACCCATTTATTTTCCCTTCTCACAGACAAAACACACACAAATACAGACACTTTCATTAAAAGTGTCAGTGTGAGTAAAATTAGTTTATAGATCTGTCAGACTTGTTGCACGGAAACCAATATCGGTGTACACAGACATTAATTGTTTGTGTAAACAAAAAAGTGTTGGTATGAAAAATTAATTGGAAAACAAGTGTCGGTATACACAGACGTTAGTTGTCTGTGTAGACAAAAAAGTGTCGGTGTGAAAAAATTTGTTGGAAAACAAGTGTTGGTGTACACAGATGTTAGTTGTCTGTGTAGACAAAAAAGTGTCGGTGTGAAAAAATTAGTTGGAAAACAAGTGTCGGTGCACACAGACGTTAGTTGTTTTGTATAAAAAATGCGTCTGTATATATACAATTTTCGTCTGTGTACACAGACACTATAGCAAACCAGTGTCGGTGTGGATAAAACGTAAAAAGTGAGAAGGAAAGAAAAAGAAGAAGATGGTGATGCAGATAATGAAGATGATTAGGGTGAATAAAACCTAAAAAGGAGAAGGAAAGAAGAAGAATAAGAAGAAGATGAAGGAGAAAGGAAGGAAGAAAGAAGAAAGAACAAGATGTTGAAGAAGAAGAAAAGGAAAGAAGAAAGAGAGGAGGGAGGGGGGTCCGTATGATTCAAATGGGAGAAGAGTGGAGAGAAAAGAGTTGGGAGGGGAGAAATAAGAAATGGGGGTTATATAGGGTGTACACCAAGGGGTAACCCAAGGTGTACCAAAAGAATTTTTCATAATTTAATTTCACCTTGGTCAAGCCGTGTCATCTTCTAGCATTTCTTCTCTGGCACCTTAAGAGAATGTATAAAAGCCCACATCCTCTAGGGAAAAGCATCAAAATCCTCTCTATGTGTGACGTATGCAAGAGTCCAATCTGAAATTTGTATTTCCCATCATTATTAGCTCTAACCAAAATAAATATTTAATTATTAAAAATATAACCTTCAGTTAATTGACTGAAAATATATGTAATCAAATTTAGTTTAAAATTTAGATCGACTAACATGACATCTCTATACAGAACAGATACTATAATAGGTTAGAAAGATTTGTCCAAAAACAACATGACATCTCTATATGTGTTTCAACCCCCATTGTGTTCCTTCAGCCTTGAAGTAGGCTCTCTATTCTAATTTTTTAATCGGTCCAAAAAAATTATACCTATTCGAACTCTACGACTATTATGCTTTTCGATCTATACAATTTCAACCTACATTTTAGATCACCGTTCTCGATTTATTAATATTTTCACCCCTTCTTCTTGTATTTTCAGTCCATATTTTTCTTTATTATGGGGAGTTGAACCCTCTCCGAGCAAGCTCATTTATTTTTTGACTTGTGGATTGACATGTATTTTGACCATATTATTGACTTTATTGTTCTAATGCAGTATTAGTTCAACCCTAATGTATTTTCGACCCTATAAGTCCAACCCTATTAGTCTAATGTACTTTCGATCCTAAAATTTTCACTACAAATGAAAATTGGTTTTACTATAGTGAAAGTTCAACCCTACAAGTTGATGTTGAACAACTTCATACTATATGTTCATATATGTTCCTTCTCCAAGCTTTTCATGAGGCAAAATGGAAGGATTTTTCATTGACATGCCGATGAATGATTTGTGGAAGCTAGTCAAACTTTCTGAACAATTGGGGAAGATAATGAAAAGTAAGAGAAGAAAGGGGGTCATAATATGTAAGTTGAGGAGGATGGCGTATGGGGTCAAAAATATGACCATTTTTATATTTGGACAAAAAAGTGACCATTTAAAATACCATCGTCTTCTCCCATAACCCAATCTGTCGCGCCTTCTATAGCTCTTCGCATTGCATGGCTCCATCTTCATTGTTGCGCAAAGCCATAGGGTCCGCTTCTCTGATAGGTCGTCGCTCTACTGCGCTTCACCTTACCTCCCTGTTACACTTACACCTCGCCATCCCATCCCAATGTTGAGATTCATCGACCTTCTTTAGGTCAACGACGACAAACAACCAGATGATGAGGACAGTAGTGGCTAAGGTTATGAATAGGTGGGCGGCGGGCTGATGACAACTAAGTGGGTGGGCGATGGTGGTTAGGGTTTATGTGGTGGCAGTTTTGGTGAGGGACTGGGAGGGTTACGAGTTACGACAAGGCCTAGGGTAGGGGAGGGGTTTAGGACAAGGTTTGATGGCTTGGGGGTAGTGTGTGGTGAAGGGATGCGGCAGTTGTAGAGGTTAGGGTGGGTCATGGAGGTGGGACTCAACTGTTTTGCAGGGGAGGGGTGTGGTGTTGGGCAGCACTCTGTGGGGCTGAGGATGAGGGAGAGGCTGGGGGCCGGGGAAGGTGACTGTTGGGATTACAACCGCCATCAGTGGTCAATGACGTAATTGGCAGGCTTGTGGTTTCACTATACGAAAACGACCACGATGACATGTTTTTATGACTATAGTGAAATCCGTAAGTGACATGTTTTTCCAAACATATGTTCTTATTAATCACATTTTTATCAATATTTAAAAGTAGTCACATTTTTTGAAATTGGTTTCAATTTAGTAATCTCGGAGAAACCCATAATTTAAGAAAGAAAAAAATAATTTAAACACCCAAACTTCAATGGGGTGTGAGGTAAGTACCTCAAACTTGCTTATGTTATATATATATATATATATATATATATATATATATATATATATATATAGATCAGGTCCCCCCGGAGGGACGGGAGGGACCGTCCGGCCAAGACCATCAGAGGCCCTTTCCGGTGAAATTTTTTGATGAAATTTTTTGAGCATGTTCCTCATCAAGTCTAGTTTATCCATACCAAATTTCAGCTAAACATTCAACCGGGAAGGCACTCAAATGATTTTTTGGAAGATAACTGCGTTTTATATGTATATAAACTGCGCAGTTAACTTCCAAAAATCATTTTAATGCCTTCCCGATCGAATTTTGAGCTGAAATTTGGTATGGACAAACTAGACTTGATGAGGAACATGCGCAAAAAATTTCATCGAAAAATTCCACCGGGAAGGGCCTCAAACAGTAAAGTTCGGACGGCACCTCCCGTCCCTCCGGATGGACCTGAGCATTCCTCTATCTATCTATCTATCTATATATATATATATATATATATATAGGTTTTGGTTCAAATAAGAACACGATCTTATGAGAAAAATGAGAACGAATCTGGACCGTTAGATTTGCTTTAAATGAAATTCAGTGTGCA